TAGTCTTGTCATCAATCATTTATATATTAATTTTTAAAATAAGTGGCTGTGTATTTTGCTGTTATTTTGGTGGGGTGAGATAATGGTGAATTTGGTCAAGAAATTCACCTGGAGGTAGTTTCCTAGAATTTAAAAAAAAAAAAAATCTATAAGAATCAACTTGATAAACACCATACACACAATTTCACAAACTGACAGAGACAAGCAATATTTTATTAACGATATTCTTCAATAAACATAGTTTTGTTTGTTTGTTTTTGTGGTACTTGGAATTCAACTCAGGGCCTCTGCTCCGAGCCACATCCCCAGTCGTTTTTATTTTATCTTTTAAAAATTTGAGACGGGGTCTTGCTAAGTCACTAAGCTGCCCCAGCTGGGCTTGAACTTTTAATCTTCTTGCTCCAGAATGCTGGGGTTACCGATGAGCACCACCATACCTGGTTTTAGCTCATATTTATTGCATAACTGCATTTAAAAATTTTGGATTTGAATTTTTAAAATTCAAAAATCTCCACAGAGAGATACTGACTGTTGCTACACAAAGCAGCACCTCCCCAGCCTGGGCCCCATAAAGAAGAGCTGTTAACCCACCTAGAATACCCAGGTGTTCTTCTGCAGCTCTTCTCTCCACCGGAACTGTGAACGTGCTGTCAGTGTACTGCCGATATATAGCTTTCTTGTACTTTGAGCCTATGTAAAACTCTCCCTTATCCAAGAATGCATTTGAAGTGCTGAAAAAAATAAAACAACCTCAGGTTAGTATTTATTGTAATGAAAATGGAAGCTAAATCAGGATTCAAGTTTTAAATTTTGAATAAAAATATAATTATTTAAAGAGTGACTGTGGTACTTTTAATCAGTTTCCACTCCAGTAAGAAATAAAGAGTTTATAAATAGGTGTAGTTGTGGGCTGGGGATTTAGCTCAATGGTGACGCCACCTACCTCACAAGCACAAGGTCCTGAGTTCAGTCCCAACTACCAAAAATGAAAAAAAAAAAAAAGGTGTAGTTGAAAATGCACCTAGTGTCACAGTGAAACTACATGAATCTTGGCCCTGACTGCTACTCACTAGATTAACCTAGCTTGTCATTGCCAGTTGGAGCCTCATTTTCCTTGCCCCTAAGATGAGCTAGTTGGCTGGATCATCTCTAAGGTTTCCTTATTGCTCTAAAATTGTAAGAGTCCAGAGTTAATCAATGGCATGTTCTCTGGTTACTGCAGTTATTTCTGGTTAATGGGAACTGAATGGTAAATTTTTCCACCCATTCACCTTTCCTGAAGTTTTCCTTGACTCCTAATGGCTCCTGAAGCCTTTTAACCATTATATCCCAGTCACTGAAATAAACTTTTATCCTTTACCCTGCAAACCACACTCAACTGCCACCGTCAAACAGGGCCTAACTATGTAGGTCACCAGTCACGTGCTTCCCCATCTGCCCATCCCGCTGTGTGACTGAGGGAGGCCCCCTCTCACGCCCATGAGGTCCTGCATGATGTGAGTGAGATGACAGAGAGAAAGTGCTTAGGAAAGAGCTCCTGGAAGTGTAGGTAATGCTCCTCTAAACGGGTGTTTTTGAAGCTCCAGTGACCATCTTTTACTTACATTTATTCATACCAAATTACTTTTTACTTTTCCACAATGCATGTCAATGGTTTCAAACCATATTTATCTATAAGTACTTGAAGAAAAGAGCTGTGCTCTGTTGTCACATATTTAAAATGTGAAATTATTATTTGGTTAAAAATAAAATTTTGGAGGAAAAAATACACCAAAAATAATTGATGAAGAAAATAGTATATCAGCTGTGAATTTGGTTAATTTTGGTTAAGTTTAAAAATCAATGACAAGAGAAGGGCACAGGAATGTGAGAAGACAATCTAAGAGAAAAGAAAGCAATTTTACAGAAAAACCACATCTTCTTTATCCAGTCTCCAACTGATGGGCAAATGGGCTGTTTCCAAGTTTTAGCTATTACAAACTGTGTTGCTATAAACATAAAGAATGAGAAATTAGATTCATTCATAGGAAAATGGATACATATTGAGGACATACTCCTAAGTGAAATAAATAAGTCATACGTGTGTAAATACTGAATAGTTTCTCTGGTGTGAAAAACTATAATAGTACATAAGATCCTAATGAGATAATGGACAATGTGAAATAGGAAGTAAAGGGCTAAAGGTGTAGGGAAAGTGGGAAGGGTGGGGGAAAAGAAATAAGGGAAAAGAAAATATATGAGAAAATGAAGAAATGGAAACAAAGTGTTTGTAAATGCGGAGGGGAGGAGGGGGTGAAGGGAGGGCAGGGACAAGGGGAAAAAATGAGAACCAAGACCTGTCATGTAAAGGTACAAGATCCCAACGATGAATGTAACTGTACTGTATCCCTAAAATGTACCAATAAACTCAATGAGAGAAAATAAAAAGAAAAGAAAGCAAGAAGAATGACTTCAAATAATCGAAAGAGAGAAATGAAAGTTCCTGTGAGAGAGTCGAAAAAAGCAGAAATGAATGAGAACAGCTCCCCGGAAGTGTTCTGCTGTTGCTTAAGACACAACTGTTTCATTTTCTAAAAGCGTCATTCTTTTCTAAAAGAGAAACCTAAAATTTCAGATGAACAAACTGGAGATCAGAGACCGGAGAATTACTTTTGCTCCTGTAAATGATGCAACTCCTTTTCCCATTCCCTGTGTGGCGAATAATCCCATTCCATCTCGACCGCTGCGATGTAGTAGGTCCTTTCTCCCAGGTAGAGAGCGGAACCCTCCTTGGACAGTTGCTTGCATGGCTTCACAGTGTATTTTTGTTTCATGCCACCTGTGTAGTGGTCCGTTGTAAGGCACTCCACATCAAAAGTCCCTGGAGTGGTAAATTAAAAAAAAATGCCACCCTTTTCACTCAGTGCTCTCCACGGCTCCTCGCCTTACCCAGAACCAACAGCAAAGTCCTCATCGTGAGGGTGGATCACCTGGCTACTCTGATCGTGTCACCCACTGCTTACCTTGCTCCAACCACGTAGGCCTCTTTACTGTTCTTGGAACAAGGGTTCTTGTTCTTGGAGCCAAGTGTCTGCCTGTCTCAGGACCTTTGCCCTTGCTATTTTCTCTCCTACCTGGAATATTTCTCAAATGTCTACATGGTTCATGCTCTCACTTTTGTCAGGTCTCTCTTAACTAACACCTCCTGAGAGAATCCTGACCTCTTTCCCTGCTCTACTTCTCTTTGTGTATTATAATCACTTAACCTACTGGTCCATGTTTTAATATAGTTGCTTATTGTCTGTCTTGTATTAGAATTTCAGCTCCATGAGACATTTTATCTCTCGTTCATTTTTGTATTTACATTTGTAAAAAACATTTGAAAAGGCAACACTTGGTCAATCTTAAATTTTAGTGACACATAATTAACAAATACAACCTCAGACAAATCAGCATGTTCTTACATTTTGACTGAAATGCATTTTTCTTTGCTTAGTGTGATATATTTGCTCCGAGTCGGGCCTTTGGGTGAATCTGAATTTGCATGACTACATTTCTAGAGTAAAATACTCATCTGCAAGCAGTCCACAAGCCAACACTACATCTAGGCTACAGAGATATGATGACAGATTTAGACACTGAGCCTCTTCAGGAGTCATTTCCTTCCTAGTTCACTTTCCCATCCGTCTTTAAAAGAACCACAGTGGAAAAGGGGGACCTTCTTGGGGGTTCACCTGTGGAAATGGAGGAAACTACATCACACTCTTCTCACTCTTTTCCCTCCTTCACCCTCCAATAAATAGAAGACTGTCTGGGGTAGACTTCTGCCGATGGTGGTGGCCCCATTTGAGTCTTTCGAAGGGAGAAGGGGCACTGGGAAGTCCTGGAAAGGGCTAAGTTTATCACCAACAAAAATCACACAAATAGACCCGACAGAGACTTGTCTTCGCTTTAAAGAAATATACCTTCTGTGTCGGGGTGCATGAGGAGCGTCAGACTTGTTTGAGGGAAGAGGTTCGCTGTGTCTCTTCTTTCTCCTCTTGACAGATACGTGTTTCCTGAGAAGTATATCCCGTGTAAATCAGCCTCATTTCCAGCACTGAACAAGTACCACACAACTGAGTCTCCTCGGCACATGGTGAGACCAGGCTGGTTCCCATACATGAATCCATTCATGGCTGTTAAAATCGGGAAACAACATTTTGAAAGTGATTTATGTAATGTCTTTCTGCAGAACAACCTCCTTGACTTTCCAAGCCAATTTTAAATTTTAAAGGACTCGTCCCAGCCTGCCCAGCTTTCACGTGCCAGCCGTGTCTCTGCTGTCCCCAGTACTCCCAGAGCAGCCCCTGACTGGCTTCACAGAGCAGAGCCGATGGTGTGGTTCCTGGAGCTCTGTGCCCCTGTCCCTCGTTCCCTGGAGACGTCACTGTGCTGCCAGCTAGAACAAGATATTCTGGCTGTTGTTCTCAGTACTTTCCGTGGCCATATTTGTGAACACCTAAATCTATAAATACTAACGGCTTTTCCTGGACCTCATAGGCCGGGAATGTGTTTATTTTTCTAGATGAAAAATTCTGACTCATCTTGAATAACAGGGAAGAGTATGCACAGGAAATTTTCTCCCATTGTTCTTTCTCTAACAGATAATATCCTTGATGCCTCCAAAATGCAAACGTGCAGAACTAGAAGTATTTTGAAGGTTGAGAGTAGTGTATCTAGGATCAGGCCAGCTTTTAAAATAAGCAGAAAGACTCTCATACAAAACAGCATCAGTTTGTAGCTCAAGTTTGTATTTTTTTTTTCTATTAGCTGGAGTAATTTTTACCATTGTCCATTAATAGAACGGGCCTTTTGAACAATGAGCCCACTGTCTCGAGACCCTAACCACATTTTAGAATTACAGTGAGAAAGGAAAAAAAATCTAACTCTAGGCTTCAATTAAATAAAAGTCTCTGGGTTTGTCTTGAGCATGGTGGTTATTAAATGCTCCCAAATGTTTTTGAAATGCAGTCATGGGTGAGAATCATGTGAGCAAAGATCATATCTTTTTATACACTGAGTAATAAAATGCACTTGTCATTATTCAGACGTGAATGAGGAGTGTGTCTAACTCAAACTGGAGCATACATCAGAATCACACAGAGGTTTTGTTAAACACAGTTTTCTGGGAACTATTATCCAAGTCTGAGATTTAGGAGGTCAGGATTGGGCGCAAAAATCTGCATTTCTGACAAGTCCCTACATAATACTGAGGTTGCTCCCCAGTGACCTCACTTTGAGGGGCACTCAACTAATTGGTGTGTCTTGTATGTCTCATTACTTTGAGTTAAATAAAGTGATGGGTAATTGACTGACACATTAAATAATCAGTGACGTCACCCTTGGCATGACTGTATTTAATTATGTATTGAAAATTAATCAGTAATCAAAACTACTTGCATTTTGGATTAATTAAATTATTACCTATGCAGTACTGAAATGACTTGACAGATTAGCTTCCTGTACTTATAGTTAAAGGTACAATACTCACAGTGCATTTTATTAGACTCCTGAAAGTCTGCATCCTCCTTATTCACTTGATTGGGTGCGGTTGTAAACATTTGAATATTACCATCGAAGAGTAAGCTCTCATTCTCATCAAATACTGTAGGAAACAAATAGAACTCCTTGTCTACATCTTTCTGTAAATCAAGACAGAACAATGATGAGAAGGCAGGATGCGTAAAGCAGAAGACTTACATGTACACAATGCTGTCTGTGCTCAAACAAGCTTAAGGAGGAATGAGAACAGACGTTTCAGCTCGTCTTTGTGAAGTAGGCTTATGAAACATTCCAGTTGACCACCCAAGATTACATTGGTATCTGTTGAGTGGGCTTTGGTTCAGCATGGTAACCTGAGCCTCTCTCTGCATCTGAAAGTTCTGCATCTTCTCTCTTCCTGCCCCACTGTGATACCAAGTGAAACCGCTAAAAATCATTAAAATAGGGGGAAATTTGTGTAAATGCTGGAAGTCAAGGAAGATGCTATCCACATTCAGAAAATTCTTAAAAATTCCTGTAAGGCAGAGCAGGGTGAAAGCAGCAGTTTGAGAGACCCATCATCCTAAGTGGAGAAATAACCTGCCAACAAACTGCCACCCTCCCCATCAGCTGGGCAAAATTATTACTCTCTCCCCTGCCCCCTGGTTAAAATGATGATGATGATGATGATGATGATGATAAGGAGGAGGAGGAGGAGGAGAAAAAGAAATACTGTCTATGAGATAATCCAGCCATTCAAAAAAGCCAATTCGTCTAAGGAATAGGAGCATATGAGAAATCATTAGAATATTATGTCTTTCCATTAAGAACATTCTTTCAGAGGAAAAACATGATTATCAAAGTGAAAAAATCCAACTAAAGCAGAGGCCTAAGGGTTAGATTCTACAGAGAGCAGAATCAATGATGAAGGAGATCTAAAGAAAGCTTCCATGAATCAGATGAAAAGATTTAAAGATGAAAAGTGTATACATGTGACTTTAAAAAGATAGGTTATAAAAGGGGAGACGTAATCCTAAGAAACAGTAGTCAAGATGTTCACCACCATAAAGAAAAAACTAGTGTACAGACTGCAGAGCTGCATGAGAAACAAGACAAAATTGACAACACAGACTTCTAATTGAGAATGTCCTGGTAAAAGTTTTGAATTTCAGAAGCAGAAATTCTTCAAGAGTCTGTATTAAAAATATTACCTAAAAGAGGCTTTTATAAAATTTATAAAATGTGACATCCTGACACGAGCTGTTCCCTTTGTTTTCCCTGAGATGTCTACAAAGCTGCCTTCTTGGAATTTAGATCTCACCTCCGATGTTATTTCCACCTTCTCAGGTTTTCTGTTCACTGTCCATTATTCTGTGTTTAAAGCACTTGCCACTTTCTGAAGTTATCTTCATTTTGTATGTATGCTTATCTCCCCACCCTCATTTTCCCTTGCACCCCTGGCACATATACTGGGATATAAATCCTGCTAGAACAGGAAACTGGCTTGTCTTATTTAGTGATGAATGCTATGCCTAGTACAGGATGTCTTTTGAACAGTTCAAATGCAGTGTCTCGTAAATAAATATTTATAATAAGCTAGAAATAAAGAGCAACTATTTATCTCCTATTGGAATGGCAAACCAATTCCTCTAGAATATTTCAGAGATTCTGAATAATTTCTTTTCTTTTTGCATTGCACTGTGTACTCGTGTATTGTCTCAAATCTGCAATACACAATGCAGTGTAAAAAGAAAAGAAATTATTCAGAATCTCTGAAATATTCTAGAGGAAAGCTATTAGTTTGAAATTTGAAAAAATAGGGAAAAGATCAAGTATTTGTCATTTCCTTCCTGTATAGTGTACTTCAGGGTAATGGCATAACTCACTGTACAGGGTAACTGCAAATTCACTATAGGAAGTTTCTGTTTATAGAAGAATTCTGGCTAGCAAACACAGAATGATGGAATCAGAATATTACATTATATAACTTTAATTAGTTTAATGCATCTAGGAGATGGCTGTCAGGGACTGATAACATCTCCAACTGAAAGACAATTATACATTATGCATTCTGTAACAGGAATACCCAGTGTCACAAGTGAAATAGTTTTGCAGAAAAGACTCTAATCTGAATCTAATTAAACCTTTGATTCTAGCCACTGACTTATGGGAAACAGAAGCAGAGAGACAGAAATAGGTTATAAGGCATCACAGGGTTGAAATAAGTAAAATCTAGACATGGAAGCCAGACAAATGACTCTTGCCACAGAAAAATTGCAAGAAAACAATCTTCACAAACATGTCAAATGTAATATGTGTAATTATTTGGATACTGATTAAAATAACACAAAGCAATTATAAGACAATCATGGAAATGTGAACGCTGATTGGATACTTGACAATATGAAGGGGTAATTATGATGTACATGATTATTAAGACCTGACAATTGAAATGTGGGGATTTAAAGGCACACAATAAAATACTTTAGAGATAAAAACAACAATGAGGTTAAAATGGTATTTCTGTTTCTAGGTCAAAAGGCCATGGTCTGATTTTATTATAAAAATGTCACAGGTCCCATAAACAATTTCATTTCCAATTTAAAGCAAAAAAAAAAATTAAATTTCCAATTTAAACAAATATTACGCATAACACCCTCACTGCCTCAAAACCTAGAGTTTTCTTTATGAAAATTCAAAGAGATTGACAAATCGTTTCCATTTTTCCCTGATTGGATTTACCTGTCTTCCATTTGCATGTAAACTTCCTTTCTTGCATATTTTGATTGGCCCAATAAGCCCAGTGAATATGTCTTTGGTAGGATTCACAGCAGAATAATACATCCCAGATAGGCACACAGGATCTGCATAAGTGGGTCCCACTTCTTTGGGAACAGTCCATTCATAGGTAAAGGTTTTCTTGGGTTCCACATAGGACGCAGAATGAGGAGGTACCCCTACAAGAAAGGTCACATAAGAGGTTAAGTGTACTTTCTAATGCAGTCATTCAAACAACAAAGTAGTCTGGATTAGCCTAGGATCAACCACTTCTGGGTTTCTAGATATGAGTTAAGAATGCAATTGTAGCTGGGAGGTGGCACATGCCTTTAATCCCAGCACTCGGGAGGCTGAGGCAGGAGGATCGTTGTGAGTTTGAGACCAGCCTGCGCTACATAGTGAGTTCCAGGTCAGTCTCAACTACGTAGTGAGACCCTGTCTCAAAAAACCAAAAAAAAAAAAAAAAAAGAATGGAATTCTACTTGTGCTCCTGTATCAGATTAACAGATTGGTGTGATTTCCTCAGGAAGCCTCCTCTAGAACCATGTCTAGGGTTGGTGTCCCTCTCTGTGCTGACACTTGCCCTGAGAATGTATTATAAATGCCTTTAATACTAAGAGAATAAACTCTACTTTAAAGTCATAGTGATAAGTAAATGTAATATTATATTTCCAACCATACTTTATATATTACATATGTACAGATGAAAGTGGAGGAATTATATAAAAATATAATGGATGTCCACAGAACTATAGGTAATTAATGTCTTTATTCTTTTCTTTATTTAGAAAAATATTCAAATATTCTAAAATAAACATCTGACCCTCTTATAAGACTCTTTTAAAAATCAAAGTTACACAAATAGTACTCCAGAAATACAGTTGACATAATCCAATTACGTTCTTACTACCAATGTCAATAATCATCCAAGGAAGGCAGGATAAAATTCCTTTAACCAATTAGAATTGGTAGAAGAGATTTATTTGCTTTTTTGGCATACTGCCTGAAAATGATGTGTGAGCCGTTTCCTGGGGAATTCCTGCCGGATGCTGCAAGTGGCCTGTGAGGTGGGTTCTGAACAGTGTTGATCAGTTAGAGCTCCGTACTCACTTCCTGTTGAGGGGTTGGAATGTGGGGCGTAGTATGTGCCCTCATTGTCCTTGCTGAATCTCACCCCAGTCGGCTCAATACTGAGGGGATGTGGTCCTTTGTTATGAAAGGTGATCTTGAGGGTGTCTCCCACCTCTGCCCATATGACAGGACCTAGAGAAAAGGAGAGAAGGAGTATACTTCATTGGTGCATAACACACAGTATCTTTGTGTTCTCTGGCAAATATCACTGCAAAAAACATGCTGATGGGCTGCAATTGGAAAACTTAATTTTTCTTAAGTCCATTATTAATCTGAAATGGCAAGATTGGACAAAGGTTAGGACTTTTTGCTCCAACTTCAGGTTAATTAAATTGGTTATCATTTTTCCAAAGGCAGTTAATTAACTTTATACACTTGAGAAAAACTACACTGTCCTCATTGTGTCTTCTGTTGGCTAGAAGTACACTGTTTGTCCCAAGAGTCAGGAGTCAGAGGGTGCTTTAAACCATGACAGTGGGAAACAGGGAAGTTACATTGTGTTGGATGTGAAGGACAATGGTGTTTTGGGTTTTTCATCACTAAAATTAATATTATTTCCAATTACATAACAAAATCTAACTATAATACAAAAATATTTTATGTAGTATGGAAAATAAGTGGATCATAACAATTTAGGTCCCTATTTCTCTCTCTCTCTCTCTCTCTCTCTCTCTC